GTGCGCTCTGCATAACAATACATGGGTATTTGTTACAGGTGCTTGGCATGTAGCATTTTATTTGCCGTATAAGCTGGACATCATTTAAAGGATTAGTTTGCAGAAATATGAAAATTAGATTAATAATTCACCCTCATGTTGTTGAACGTCAGGCGTATGAATAAATCTGGGCTTGACTGTGTATGTAGTATATAAGTCAAAATTATTACATATTTTTTATTCCATTTCCAATACTTGCCAAATGATATTTAACAGAGCAAGGAATTTTTCACAGTATTTCCTATAATATTTGTTCTTCTGGAGAAAGTCTTATTTGTTTAATTTCAGCTAGAACAAAAGCAGTTCTTAATTTTTTTAAAATCCATTTAAGGTCAGTATTATTCACCCCCTTAAGCAATATTTGTTTTGGATTGTCTACAGAACAAACCACTGTTATACAATGGCCTGCCTAATTACCCGAACTTAACCTTATTAAGCCTTTAAATGTCACTAACCCTTTGATGCACAAGCTATAAAACAGATATAGAAAAAACAAACTTAGATGGGTTAATTTTAGTCCCATGTAGGGTTAAGCTAAATACATAGTGTCTTGAAAAAGATCTGGTAAAATATTACACTCAACGGCCACTTTATTAGGTACACCATACTACATAGGTACATTCTTCTGCTGCTGTAGCCCATCCGCCTCAAGGTTGGACGTGTTGTGTGTTCAGAGATGCTCTTCTTCAGGCCTCGGTTGTAACATGTGCTTAATTGAGTTACTGTTGCCTTTCTAACAGCTCCCAGATAGCAAAATACACTCGGGCCAGTTCCGGGTAGATTCATGCCTGCCGGAGACGCCGGCTGCCGTCCTTGGATGCTTGTGGACTCACTGCCCGATTCCGGCCTGAATCAATCGGGCCAGATGCGGCAGCCGTAAGCGAGCCAACGCTGCCACATCTGAGCCAGAATTGGTCTGCGAGTAATGTACGCTGCGGCCTGGAGCTGGCGCGACTTAGTCTTCATTAGTCTTAGTATTACATTGGTTCTTGATACATGGTATTACAACCATTTGAATTTATATAACAGCAAACGCAGGCTATAATGTAAACACAAAGTGTAGGTACTGCGTTTAAACTTTGAATAAAATGCAAACAGCATACATATCCGATAATGAAAATAATCAAAGGACAAAATAAATAGTAATAAACGTTTATTGATGGAAAGAAACAAATAATCCTAAAATTTATTGAATTATTTATTAAGCAGATTTCTTGAATTATTATTACAAGGCATTTGTGCTCACAGAACTGCCGCTCACTGGATATTTCCCCTTTTTCGGATCATTCTCTGTAGAGAGATGGTTGTGCGTGAAAATCCCAGTAGATCAGCAGTTTCTGAAATACTCACAGCAGCAACAACCATGCCACGTTCAAAGTCACCTTTCCCCCCATTCTGATGCTCGGTTTGAACTGCAGCAGATCGTTTTGATCATGTCTGCATGCCTAAATGCATTGAGCTGCTGACATGTGATTGGCTGATTAGAAATTTGCATTAACAAGTATTTTGGACAGGTGTACCTAATAAAGTGGCCGGTGTGTGTATATACTGTCATCATGGCAAATATAAAATAAATCAGTTATTAGAAGTGAGTTATTAAAACTATTATGTTTAGAAATGTGTTGAGAAAATCCTCTGTTAAACAGAAATTGTGCAAAAAAAAAAAATTATATATATATATATATATACATCAAGGCTAATAATTCTGACATCGACTGCACAATGACGACACTAAATGTTATCATTGATCAGATACCGGGTTGCTGCAGTAATCTTTGTGTAGTTTAGAAACGCTGGCGTTAGTTCTCCACCGCAGTGACCTTGTGTCCGTAAAAGCGTGACCGCTTGCACCAAAGGGCCGTCTGAATGTAAATAAGTCAGAGAAATGTGCCGCACCGCTCTCTGATCAGGGCGATTATCAGACAATACACAGATCCGTCCAGCCCAAACTGAGATCTGCTGACTTTGTTTCCATCATTTCAGCTCTAAATTATAGCCCGCTCCTCCTCTTCCAATTCATTCAGACCTGCTGTTATTTCATTTAGTAAATGCCGCACGCCGATCAATATCTGTAACAATTGCCTCATTATACTGATGGAGATGAGCATTGTTCATTGAAAGTGTCCAATGGAACGTAACTGCATTTGTATTGTGGATGCGCTGCTGGTATTGTTCAGAGTTCTTGTTTAATTAATATAACAACTAACATGCATGGTATATAATCACAAATACATGAAGCTTCATTAAAATTCGATCGATTTTTTTTTCTTGGTTTGCAAATTGAATAAAGAGAATTAAAAAATGCATCTAACTGGATTGCAGATTTTGTGAGGGTTTCAAAAACAGCCCCACACACACTCAAAACAACGGATTATGGCTTTAGTTGGTCCAAAGAATGCAACTATGTTTAAATTAAACAACTGACTTATGTTTGTGTATTAAAACCAAAAGAATTGTGGTGGTTGTGGTGTCGCTTAATTCAAATTAATGAAAGGGAGTTGTGTTGCTTCTGCAGTACTACATTTTGGTATATATATATATATATATATATATATATATATATATATATATATATATATATATATATATATATACACACCAAAAAGCGTAAAATCATCATTGATCATATATATATATATATATATATATATATATATATATATATATATATATATATATATATATA